TGTGTGGAGAAGTTTACAGAGAGACAATATGTCCTGCAAACTGCAAGGTTATTGCAGACCCACAAAGATGACGAGCGGGAATAAAGTTCTCACTTGTTGGGAGCTGTTTATTTAGTTAGCATTCCATTCTACAGTTATAAAAAAATATTGGGCAAAAATGTCAGTCTGAGCTTTTCTTCTTGCAAGAGTTAAAAAATAAAACTTAAATATCATTCTATATATTCTCTATATATCGCCACATTGTTTTAATTTGAAGAAATGGTAGTGTACACATTTCAATCATTTGTATTTGATAGCAATGCTTAAGTACTTAGATGTTAAACCACCTCTGAAATATATGCTTCTTATTTTCTACATAATCTGTCAGAGGTTATAGCACTTATACCAACTTCTTTGTTTTTCCCACTCTACAGCTTGAAATGACCCATTTGTCTTTTAAACTAGTAAGTATGTGCAATAGAAGAAACAGCAGAAAGAAATTAGTTTTATTCTACAGAGAGGGCTTATTACTTACTGGAGGGATGTCCCTGAAAGCCTATATTGATATTTATCAAGGTGCTGGTATTTAAAGGTGTTAGCGTACCTGAAGACTACATGCCTATGCAGAACTTGCAAAAAACTCCGCACATCTAATTCATTTAAAGATAAATGTCAGGTTTTGAAAGTCCCACTGAGGCTTCTATCCACACCTTGAGTTATTTCAGTGACTTAAAAACAAAACTGTAACATTCTTAGGTGATAATTGCCTTGAAGGAAAAACAGCAATAAAGCTGGCTAAAGTACGGGTGGTTTAAGCTACAGCATTGGCTATTCCATTGGCAGTTCTGCAAGAGATGCCTACTTTTGGACATATAATGGTGAGGAGACCACACTTACAGAAAATCATTGCAAACACTTGAATCCAGAAGAGCATGCAAGCCCCTAAAACAAGTTGGAAATGGTCTGGGAGAAAGCCTGTATTCAAGGCCCATTTTCTCTCCAGCTGTCAAACAAGTCCCTGCAATATGTATGAAGGTCTGCTTTTCTATATTTCAGATATGCTGAGGCAGTTTGTATTAGAGGTCCCAGTACTGCTGTTTTTCATTTCCAGCATGCCTGTGGAAATGAGATGCTAGCTCTTGTGTCAGACTTCTCAGTGAGCTTTAATGATAGGCAAGATCTGAAGAAAATAACATGCACTTTAAAAAATGCTGTTCCTTCTAAAATGCTAAAATGCTAAAAGTTCCTTCTCTGTTTAGCACCTCAGTTTCTGTACCTTTTTCTTAGACTAAGCTGAAATTTCCCTCCTTTGAGATGAAGTCTATCTTGTTTCTGTTACCTAAGATGGCTACTGCCTCCTTCTGTAGTCCTCTCATGACCCAGAAGTTCAAAGGAAAGCTAAAGATTTAAGATCTACCCCCCCTTAACCAAAGAAAATTAAGGCACCTTAAAAATATGTCCTTTTTTCCATGCCATTTCCAAGCTAGATCATCATCTCCCTTGAGACTTTGCTGCCTTGTTTCTCCTGAGTGAGCACTGGTATACCGCATAGTATAACAGGCATACATGGATACAAAGACTGACTCCTGACCTTTCATCCCACTTCTTCTGGTGAAGAAGACTTCTGATTGCAGTCTCCTTTTCACTGTCATAGCCTTCCAAAGGCACATGGATAAAGCACTATAAGTTATGTAACAACAATTGCCAAACAGATGATACGTTTATAACTACTTTTTCTCTGAAAGGTATGCTGTAAAGATTTATCGTAGACAGTCCTGCACCCTAGATTTACAGACTGACTTTCCTGTCAGGAAACAGCAAGAATGGGGCTGCTCCACAACAAACAGTGAGATGGGAGCCACAGGTGCCCACCCAAAAAAGCTGCAGTCTGCCCATACCTGAGCAAGGAGAGAAGGGCGAGCTAGTGACAACAACAGGGACCACCAAGAATCTAGCAATCGTCAGACAACTGCAAGGCAACATCAACCCTGCAAGTCCAGTCTGCAAGTCCAGGAAAGACCTGAGCACAGGTCAGGTAAGGAACAGGGCACCTGGACCTGAGCTTAAACGGAGCTCCTGCACCAATGGATGCAGAGTTTGGAGGCCAGACACCTGATGAGGCTGGTCAGGGCAATTAAGGCTTCAAGGCCCTTCCCTGTTCTAGACAGGTTTATGAGAACTCCTTCTGAAGTCTCACATCCTCTGTGCAGCAAACTGAACCCCACCACCACCACCAAAAAAAGACATACAACCCTCCCTCCCAATAATTGTTACCATATCCCGTGTATACAAGTATTTGCTCTTCCATCCTCCATGAGATGGATCCAGTGAATGCAAAATAAAAAGGGAAGACTTTGCATCAGTTTCAAAAGTCCTAGGATCAGGTGCCATTTGCTTGAATATAAATACATAAATATGAATAAATAATGTAGTAAAATAATCCATACCATCAGTGGTGAGCAGAAATCCACCAATATGAATCTGGTGTTTTGTATACAAACAGTTCATTTTACACAGGTCAAAGCAATTATTAGGTCTCTTCTTCCTTCCTATGTTGCTTTTGTTCTGTTTTCTCACAACTGATATATATTTGTTATACTTCTCTTTAGAAGGAAACAGAACATAGTAAAGTGCAAAGTTACTTGTATCCTTGTACAAACGTATCCTTTCAGTGATATATTCTTTAAAAATGAACAATTTTTTTATTCAAGGCTTGGGAAAAGCTTAGTCATTTACTTTCTCCATAGTCCTCACAGTATCTGACAGCCTGTTTTACAACTTCAATATTAATGACAATGCTCATTTTTCAACTCAGACAACAGCTTCTAAGTTTCGGGGAGTCATAGACCATCTCTATTTCTTTTACTTGCTTGTATGTCTCAACTGCCTTTCCCATATATCCCCTCCACATACCATTTATTTGGTTACATCTTTGGAAAATGGTGGGGTTCTATTATGTTTAATTCAAGAGAAATAGTTGTCATGAGTACTCTAATTTATTTCCCACGTCACTGATAAAACACTCTCATTCTCTCTCTCGCTGTCGCTCTCACTCCCTTGTAAACAACTTGGAATGAAACTAATGTGAAAAACATTCCAATCATAAGCCAAGTATTGATGAAAAGTGTTTTTTTCCCAAAAAATATATTCGTAGCTACATTGCTGTAGTTAAGACCTAGTGCCAAAGCCTTTTCTGTTTGTGCAATGCTTTCATTTGAGAATTTCTTTCTTCAAGTGTTGAAACTAGTCATTAGCATGTCTGTACGTATGGGATGATCTCATCTCACACTAAACATTTGTGAAGCAAAGAGATATAAAAAAGGAACTAAATGATTAAGAGTAGAGTGCAATCAGAATGATTGCTTATCCTAAATAGAGAAAACCTCATATCATGTGTTCATCTATTTATGCCTGTGAAATAAAATAGTAGTAGACCTGCAGAAGTGCTCAGCTTAACATTTAAGCTGAGTTCCTTGTGAATATTTTTTAAAGATATTTTCTAAATATCCTTCTTGGATGAAGTTTGTGTTTTCTATAGGAACTGTACAAATGGAGGGGTTTATTTTGTGGGTTTTTTTTAACTATATGTTAACTAAACATTTAGCGTACCCTGCTGAAATTTTCTTAAATAAAGCAAATATTGCACTAGACTATTGCAGAAGCAATTACAGTCACAAACTCATGCATTTTGTTTCTAAATCACAGGAAGCACTTTAACAGAACAACCATTCGTGCTTTAAGTTTCTTTAAGTAGGATGTTTTTTTCATATAACTGCTCCAAAGGCGTTTCAATGTCTTTAGCTCCAAAGAAGGGGTGATGTTTAAGGGTACCAAATTCTTCACAGGATCACAATGCCACATATATTATATTGTGTACATGGGATGCTAGCTAATAAGCAGTGTGATACGATGCTGCTTTGGATACTTTGAACAAGTCCCATGCTTCTGGATTTAGTAACTAACCATAAAGAAAAAACAACTACAGAATTTGTATGCAAGTAGGCAATGCAACCAGCTTAGACTCTGTTTTGCATCAGAAAACACTTACAATAAAGGGTATGCATACAAAAAAGCAACTGACTCAAAGCTCATTGAAGTCAAAGGGTTTAACAATGAAGCTTAAGCTTTTTGCTTCATCAGGACCTAGGTGATAACTAGCAATAATCCAGTTGTTCTAAAAATTTAAAATATTGCACTTTGGGATTTTTATAGGTATGGTGTACAAAAAGCAGACAGAGGCTGTTCTGAACAGTTCCTCAGCTTTCCTACAGTTGGATAACTTCTGATGGGAAACATGGAAGACAGGGCTTTCAGAGCATGTCGGAACGGGGCTCTTTCCCCAGCTTCATAACTGCCTGTCTGCCTGTGTAACCTTACACAAGTCATAATCTTTTGTATCTGCCAAATAAGGATCTTAATGCTTGCTTGTCTTTGTAAAGTATGTAGAAATGTAAAGATCTGTTTGCTCTGTACATTTCACTTACTTTGGTTCATAGTTATTCAAGACTCCCAGTGAAATCAATACAAGATCCATCAAATGAAGTTGCAGCTTATAGCCTTTCATTAGTATGAGTACGTGTGCATAACTCGATGACAGTGACTTTGAAAATAATGCTTTATCAGTCCAGAAGGAGACTTGCTGACTCTGTAATAGCTTTTACTTTCCTGTGAATTTACTAAATTCTTACATGACTACAGGGTGTTTGTTCTGTGACTAACTGAACACTGTTTTATGCAGGATTATAGATCTTGCTAATTATTGTAGTTTATGAATTCATATTTTCTATCACAAGCTTAGTTATGGCTTGTCAGAAAGTTGATTTTCAAGCTCATGAATAATTTCGCATGTCTGGAAAGGCCAAACTGGATCAACATAAGTATTTTACTTTAATAAATGTGAAATATTTCATTTGGACTTCAAATTCCTTTGAAACACTGTAAGAAATTTCAAAAGCAAATAATTATTTTGAAATTATCAATAGAACTTACATTTAAAATATGAAAATGGTCCTTTGGATGATTTTTAAACATTTGCCAATTTTTATTTTTACAAAAAATATTAGCTCAAAACTGCTGTGATTTGTTTAACAAAGAAGTTTCTGTCACAGCAGATTTCTCTAGTGGAAAATCGATTACATATTTTTTCTACCAACCCTGAGTTTGATTCTATACAGTATCAGCAGCCTCAAAGTCCAGAGGAGTCAATGGGCATTATGGATATATCATCTCATGGCATGTGACAAAATTAAACTGTCACATGAATGGGATCCATTCAGTGATTTGGTATCTCTAATGTCCTTCTAAATATAGCTCACTTTCTATGCCCTAAAATGATACAATTCTACCTAAGCATTCTTCATCATACTGTGATTAAATGGTTCATTAAATGAAATGTTACAGTTCTTAAAGAAGCTATAGACCTAGAAAAAAGACTGAAATATAATCATGAGTCACTGTTAGGACAGACTGTACATCAGTCTCTAGGAGAGACTGTAGGAGAGACTCTACATCATCTAGAATCTTTATAGCAGAAAGACTACATTTAAACTGTTGTGAAAAAGGATTGCTATCTGTGAAGATACAAGCTATCCTTACAGACTGCAGAATATGAATATGATTTCATATTTTAGTTTGTTTTATACTCCACCACTAAACAATAGATCGTATAAGAACCAAAAGTCCTCCCTGAGCCCACCGGCATATACAAAAAGACCTTGCTTTGCAAGAAGTAACATGCCTCCTCTTTCCTCTGCCTTGAGCTGCTGATGAACTGTTGTCAGGACCATACATCTGCCCAGCCTGTGGGATTTAGTCACCTGAGGAAGAAGAAGGAAAGTACTTAGACTGCAACTCTGACCAAGTTGGCTGTTGGTCAGCTCATTGGCATTCTGTACAGGGGTCGGACACAGTGTGGTTCTAGAT